TATGTATGTATGTATGTATGAACCCTGTAAATGTGGATTTAGATATAGGTTTCCAGAGACATACACGTCTGTGCGTGCGTGTGTGTTTGCACTTGTGCTTGTGTGTGTGTGTGTGTGGGTCTGTTCGCTTTTGCGCGTCTCTTAGTCACAGGGTTGCAAATCAAAGGAACGAGTTCAAGCTCTTACGGCCGTCACTTCCGAGCTTTGTCTTCCCAGTTCAGGCTGGATGCTGTTAAAATTGTATGACCAAGGTGGCTTAACTTAAATAACAATTTACCATTCATTCTGTGAAAACCGAGCCCGCGGCCATTAGGCTCCATCTCCAGGGAAAACAGCCTTCGTGGAGCTGACTTGTCTGAGGGCCGAAATCATGTGAAGCAAACTTCGGGGTGGTTCTGCCGGGTGTTGCTGCAAGGGCTTAACCACGGAAAAGATCAGCAAGTCCCTTCAACACCTGGCCCACACAGGCGAGCGTGTCCCCACGAAACGGATGGTGCAGAGGATGATCGCTAAGCCAAGCATGCACTACAGCTCTGAGTTTTCCAGGCCGGTCTGCACACTTCGACTCCTGAACCCTACAATTCCGGCAAGACGCAGCAAGTGCGTTGTATGCTCGCTGATCGTCTCCCAATTGGCACCTCGCAGTCAATGGCTATGGCTACAGAGGCTGCAGCACTGGAACGGCTGCAAAAATTCTAGATGGGAATGAGACTTTCTGGGCTGCTTTGCTGGCATCCTCCGAGCCTTCATAGCGCCACTCTGGGAGATACGCGACCTTATCAGAATCTGAATGCACCATCCCAAGGTCAGTCCATCGAAGAATAGCTGGTGGCAGCAGTGACGGTATGTGCTTACATCTGTATGGCCGTTACAACCATTGTCGCGGCCCGTTTGAAGTCACGTTTGGGCCGATATTTCGCACGCCGTCGTAAACCCTGAACTCCAACAAGCGGCGGCTGCTGGACTGATGTCTTAACCGAGGTTACGGCAATCGACACGGGATCGCTCGTCGGACCCGAATCAGATCCTGCTTAAGTACTCAATTACGCAGATTATACGTCTGCCGTTTTCCGGCTTCACTTCCGCGGCATGTAGGCGGTTGGTACTAGGGTGTTGGTTACCAGAAGGTGTACCGCAACTTAGTAGGACGTTCCTGTGAGTCGCGAAGATTTAGCTGCTTTTGTCGGGCTTCTATCTGTCAGGATCTCAAAAGCCTTCTTCGATACCGTCTACGGTTCGCGTTCGCCATGTTCTCTACGGGCCAAAGGACCCGACATCCGGAATGGTACGACATCGGGGTCCTTATATAAGGAGTGTCACAGGATGATTCTGGAAGCATTATTATGGGGTTCTTGGGCAAAGAACCCGACGTCATGGTGGCTTGCGGCTTGAGGGGCTGTGGTATGCATAGCGTTTCGTTCGTTGTAGGTTTTTGGCATTTTGCTCGAATGAAGGCAAGTAGCAGTAGGGTTTTCGGGATTTGGGGGTTGCCAATATGAGGTTCGGATTTCATGCTCAGGAAACTCAACGCTTCGGTTTCGGAGTTGCGATGTGTTGCAGGGTTGGGCCAGTTGGGCGCTTGATGGCTGTTGAGAAATTGGCGGGCCTGTGGAGAAACTAACGTTATTTGGGTTTGTGGGATAAGCTTCTTGCAGCTTCTTGTGTTATTGGCTTTTAGGGCTTTGTCGTGACGGCTTTTGAAACTCGCACTATACACTCGGACAGTTGTGCGGGCGAGGGAACTTCCGCTGGACACGACAGGGCCTGGCACTGTAAACGGCACTCCAAGACGTGAGCATCACGCAGCATCAAAGCCTCTATGGGTCGTGCCTCTTGTGGGCACCAAAACGCGCAAAACCGAGCCAGGTGACAAGGCACCTTACCTCAAGGAAAACACGGGAGATGGTTCCCGAGTCAAAAGTGAATCGCATGCAACAAAAGCTTCAGTTCGCATCGATCTTGTTCCATACGCCGGACGGAAGGGCGATGAACTGCTTTGCAAAATCTTCCATCTTCCAGAGCCTGGCCCGGAGATCGCTGATCTTTTGACTTGCATCGTTGATGTTGTGGACCAAGGACTCGTAGTCGGCCTGGAGTTGTTTCGCATACTTGTTCTCGTGCTCTTCAACATCAGGCTTGATGTGGAACACCAAATTGATTCTCTTGTCCTGATGGACATGAGGCAGAAGCTCTAGCCGCCTAAAATCTAACTCCTGAATCCCACAACCCTAAACCCGCACTGCTGTCCTGCAGGAGAATGCTGTTGTTCGGTGCAGCAGCGGGAAGCGGGAATGAACCATTTGCCCGCCAGCGCTCTGGATGTTCACCATGCGGGCCATAGGGCGAGGAGGTGATGACATTTCCGACACCCCACCGCTTTCTGTCAACAATGGTCTTGAGATTCCACACTACCTCCATCTCCTTGTTCAGGTAGAGTAAGATCTTGTTGACTGGGCGGCAGCTCCTGCTTGCGGGGCCTTAGCGCTCGGGGCTCCTCGGACAGCCAACGGCCTGTCCTGTTCCAAACGACTTCATGGCCCGTGGCATTTGCAACCAGCTGCATCGTGTAGTTGACGTATCCGTCGAGGATGGTCAACCCTGGTGCTCCTGCACGATCGGAGTCTGAAGAGGCTGCAGGAGCTTTTTGAAGTGGTTCTTGGTCCGCGTGCTTATGTCTCTCAGCCACTTCTCACTGCGGCCATCTTCTTCGACAGTGTCACCAAAAGGATCAAGATCTGCCGGCCCCCTTAGCTGCTGCTGTACGCCGGTGAAAAGGTCGGGTTCGAAGAGAGCGGGATCTGCAGCAACCAGGACGATGCTACAAAGTGAGAGAGGGAGTGTAAGGACCATGGTGGACTCTTTCGACCGGATCCCCGCCTCTGAAGCTTCGAGCAAAACTTGAGCCATATCGTTTCGGGTGATTGAAGGGCTTCGGGGGATAAGCCTGATCGATCTCGGGACTTTCGTGGATGGCGGTTTTGGCGTAGGGAGTTGAGGGGTCGACGCTTTCCTGGGCTTGTGCTTGTTCAAGATGGTGCTTCCTCAGGCACAGGAGCGAAAGACACAAAGACTAGGGGACTGCTTGCTCTGCGATGACCAAAGCACTGGTTGACCGTCACCGCCAATCTAGTGACAAAGCATCTGGGCTGTAGCTTCAAGCAAGTCTGGCATGCAGAGGCAGGGCAAGAAGGGTATTGGTTTCATGTCCGTCACTATCACTGTGAATAGTGTCCTGACCACACCTGGGTGTTCGCGTTGAGCCCAAGCGGTTTGTTTCAGCCCCATTCACACCCAAACAAACACATGACTCAAATGACACAACAACTCCCACATGTAGCCTATATATATATATGTATGTATTTATTGATATTAGTTAGACATATGTATACACGTGTATGCATGTATGTATATATATAGATAGATAGATAGATAGATAGATAGATAGATAGATGGATAGATAGATAGATAGATAGATAGATATAACCATACAAACAGTTGACGTGCCTTGTGGGCACATCCCCAGCGTCCTGCCAGGCTGGGCTCAGCCACGGCTACCAGCAGCCAGGAAGCTGCAAGCAGTATCGAAAGGATCGCCTCATGTCAAGTCCATAGGCCAGATGTCTCCGAAAGTCTCGAGACCGTGCGACCAAAAACATCGTCATTTGCAGTGCTCATAGGACCTTCAATGCTTCCAGAGATGCCTCCGATCTGATCCATGTGGTGATTGCATCTATTTCACAGATGCTGCAAATATGGGATTGAGGCAGCGGCACGCTTTGGACAGTGACTGCAGCTGCCCTCCCCGACCCCAGGATGCATCGTGCTAGGTACTTGGTGTCGACTGTAGGGTAAACTAAATGACTGGTCTACTAGTCTACTCTCACTACCATGTCCTGGAATCTAAGCCATCCTGCTCACGACGTGAGATTTCAGCATGCGCCGAAAGCTGTCTGCTGCTGGCGCCTAGAACGTAAGCAGTGTGCTTGAGCACGAGATGCATGCAAACAGTTCTCAAAGAGAGCTTTCAGCATACCACCCGCAGCAGGACTTACATTGCATAAGTCTTGCTGGATACGTTGTACCGTACATGACGAGGACATCACAAAAAAACAAACACAAACACACACACACACACACAAAAAAAAAAAACACAAACACAACCACACACACACACACATGCGCACCCACACACACACACATGCACACACACACACATGCACTTACTTGGATTGACCCGTGATATGCCTGAAGTCATACATACATACATACATACATACGTACGTACGTACGGACGTACGTACATACGTACATACATGCGCATACATTCATACATGCCGAGAGAGACATACGTACACACCGACCTCCACACCTACCTACCTACCTACCTACCTACCTACCTGCCTGCCTACCTACCTACCTACCTACCTACCTCCCTCCTCCCTCCCTACCTACCTACCTACCTAGCTGCCGACCTGCCTGCCGACCTGCCTGCCTGCCTGCCTGCCTGCCTGCCTGCCTACCACCTATGTACCCGATCAATCAATTTACTTACGTACGTACCTACACGCATCCGTCCATCCATGCATGCATGCAACAAGCAGATGAGCATTGCACAGTTGACAAGACCTGCCTTACCCTGCCTCGAGCAAATTGTCTTGAAGAATCTTGCAGTAGACGCACATTTCTTGCTCGCTGCCCGCTGCTTTTCGAGGCTGATTTGACTGCTGCATCGCCTCTTTAACCGTGATCGTAGATGCTTTGGTCTTAGGGTTCACTGTGACAGAGAGCTTCGAACTTGGGCCTTAAGACTGCGTTCTGAAATCACAAGTGTTTCGGTGCCATCCGACGTTTGTGGTCCTTTTGTGGGCTCACGGGCTCAACGAAATCTTTGAGAACTAGGGCCCCAGAAGGCGAACAGCAGCCTTTCGAGCAAGCTAAGAAAGCGAAGCGAAGCATTTTGCCGCCATCTCCACTTACCTGGCTAGGACTCGCACCCAATTAGCTGCGTGAGTACGTAGGAGGGTTTCGCTATATGATTCAGGGTTTAGGAAGTCAAATTAAAGAGTTCAGGCATTGCCGGCGCATTGTCCAACCCAGTTAGTTGTCTACACTCCATGCTGCTGCCCGGGTTTAGTTCCGCCGCGGCGGGCGACCGTGCAGTAAGAATCAATAAGATTCCCAATGAGCATTTCCCCGTCCGGTGGGCAATCTGAAAACATTTCAACCAGAAGTTGGGTTGAAGATGTTCGGACAAGGGTGAGCTGTTCGGTTTAGTTCCGACTTGGCGAAGGAGCTGAGATGCCCTTGAGGGCGATTGGCCAGCTACGAAGCAGTTTTGTAGAAGCTCTGGAAGCATGCGCATGCGGTGGTCAGAAGATTCCGAAATCCACCCTGCGCAGCTCGCCATGAAGATCCCATAAGATCCCCAGGCGTCCTTTCAAAACCCGTATCGAAAACTCGATCTCATGGATGGAATCGGAAAAGTGGAAAGAGTTGTGCCTTTCAATATACATTTCGTGTATGCAAGTACGTAAGTAAGTAGGTATATGTATCTAGATGATTACAGTGGAATGCCACAACGGTCGCCAGGCAACTGCCCGCCACGCTCCGCATGGTGTCTTGCCAAAGTAATGGTAGGTATGTAGGTATGCATGTATGTTCAAGTTCGTATGTAAGTGTGTAGGTACTTAATTCATTTGTAAAAATGTATGTGCACACCAAGCACGCCCTCGATGGCGCTTCGCTCCCTCGCGCATGGAGTCAGCTGTAAGCTGCTACTCAGCCCGCCGTTTCTTCCTCGGCTCGAACCGTCTTGCAGCAAGGCTACAAGGACTGGAAGGTTTCGAGTTTGTAGGGTTTAGGGCCTCTTGAGTTTAGGGTTTTTTCCCTCCCACCTAGCAAGGACGAGCCCGCATTGCAGGGTTAAGTTCAGAACAGAGAGCATAGACAAGAGGGTTTAGGATGCAGGGTTTTGGAGATTACATGCTAGGCTCATAGTAGGCGCCACAGTAAGCACCAAGGCTGGTCGCTGCCGCGCACTTGCCGGCTTGATATTCTGCTGTCAATTCTGATGCGAAGCCCTGCAGGCTAGAGCCATAATGAGCCGTAGTGGAGCCTCTGTCCTATCTTATGAATGTTCACCCTGCGCCAAAGTAGCAGAACAACCAAGTGGCTTGTTGGTGCTACCACTTGTGCCGGCAGCGCTCGTGTTGCCTGTACAAACGGCACAATGTGGAAACGGATGGAGGGAGAAAGCTACATGCATGTATAGTCATATGTCTATCATTGTACATGCATCGGCCATCCAGTGCTTCAGCCATCTATCTGCCCATATATACACACACACAAAAACAAACAAACAAAAAAACACACACACACACACAGAGACAGAGACAGAGAGTGTCACTCTTGGTGTGGTGGGATGGCGTCCGGAGAGAGAGAAAGAGACAAAGACGGAGAGAGACGGATAGGTATCTACAAAGCACTCGGCCGGTGTTTGCAACTGCTGCGCTGCCACCTGACCCAAAGCCAAACAGGCTCTCGCTGCTGCCACCGCCTTGGCCGCAGGACAACGACGAACATATGAACGACGTTCTGGCATTCTAGCTGCCTCGGGCTTGTATTCAGGAGTCTGGCCATCGCTAGTCTTGGCCGTTGCAGAAAGCCAACTTCCTAGCGAAGAGATTCAGCAAGACGCCATGCAAGTGTGCTGGGGGATGCGCATGACGATCACGGGGAAATCAAAGCAGGACGATTGCTTGCGGCGCATGTCGATCTTTACTGCATTACGAGTATGTCGGTCTTTCTTGCTAACCCTCTCCCGGCAATTGCAAAAACTCAGGTCGCGGAAACGAATTCCGATGTTCGAAACCTCTGGGCAACCAGCTGGAGTTGCTCCCGAAGATATTGCCACTTGTGGTGGCCCCACCTCCGCAGAAGATACCTCCTCCGAGTGTTTCGACAGTGCTTCGAGGATCTGCATGCTGCAAACGCAGTGTACTAGATTTGCACATTCTGTTGTTGCAGAAGCAGCAATTAGAGGAATGACTGAAACAAACGAGAGCGAGTCTTTCAGAAACAGACCGGCAAAGGCGCGTGATCTATCGCCGCCTACGTCAACACGTCGCCTCCTCGCTCCTACGGCTGCAGTTTTCTTTCGGGACACTCGCTAGGAAATCCTACTCGTAACGATCGCAGCTCCTGCAGTGCTGGGTGCATCAGCTGTGCCTTGCGATTTCGGAGCTCGGCTGTTCAGCGGATAGGGCTTCCAGGCGGATCAAGACATGTTCTGAAGTGTTGTAGTATTTGGGCATCGGGGTCGGGTGCCAAGCAGGCTACTCCCTCCAACTTGTTCGCACGCTTCGAAAGCAGCTTTCGACTGCGGGCCCTCAGCAATGCCAACAAAGAGCTCGCTGCAAAGGGATTGCTACCTCCACCGGCAAAGATGTTGCCTGCACAGCGAAGCAGATATCGCGTGAGGGCAGCTCAATGCAGGCTCGAAGCTTCTCACGATGACTAATGTACATAAACGTCCTGGAAAATCCAACCTCTCAAACATCATGGCCTGACTCGAAGACTGGAGCGGCGGCCGGCTTCCCTGCTGGACTTACCACGTGCAGGGATTGGACTTGGATGTGACCTACATGCTGCGGGACCATTCGAAAGCGAGATGTTGCGTTCTGCGATCGCCTGTTTCAGGTTTTGCGGCTTGGAAGTCCTTAGCGTCGCAAAGCTGAATAATTAGTCTTGGCGACAGTGGTCTCCGTCGCGAGATGGAGATCATTGTTATACATGCATCGTCATGATGTGATGGCCGCCATCTGCTAAGCTGCTAAACATCACCCGACTAA